CCCGTGGTATTCACTGATTTCGCGAATTGCAGGTTTTAGATTTTTTTTTTTTATTTGCATCTCTTTTGTAAATATTTTTCTTTTTCTTTTTTTCGAATAGTACTTTTCTTTGTGGTGATGAATGATTTTGTAATATTTGTGGCTAATTATATAGTGTTGGGCTGGGAGTTGGGACGATTGAGTTGGACTTTGAAATTGTTAGGTTTCATTCAATTTTCTTGCAATTAAATTAGTTTTATTTAAAAAAAAATGGCGGGCCTAGCCCGCCAAACCCGAGGCGGACTACAGGCGCCCGCCGGCCCGTTGTGACAGCTCTAGTTTCAAACAACTATCTTTAATTAAAATCATCTCAATTCAATGGAAATGCCTCATCTGCAATTAAACAACATAAAAATTCTCATCCAAAACATGTAAATTCATTACAAAGAGAAAATTAAAACATTTCATTTCAAGTCATAATGTGTCAACCAATCATGAGTTTTAAAAGCTAAATAAGTTGTTTCAGTTAGCAAAAAGTCATAATATTCCTACCAACCATGAGTTTTCAGAGCTAAGAAAGTTGTTTCAATTAGCAAAGAAACTAGACAAAAGATTACAAAAAGTAGAATTGAAGGCAAAAATAGCAAGTCGGCTTTTATCATTCAGAGTTTTGCTATAGGAAGATGTTAACCAGGCTCAGGCACCTCAGTTGCAAACCTAAATGAAGATACGAAGGAGGCCAGTTGAGTCTAAACCACTGTGGAATTTCAACACTAAATCATTGAACAGGCTAATACATACAGTTCAACCATATCATCGGTTGCTGCGAATGAAGCCTTTGTTGCAGGTGTTGCTGCTGTCGTCGCCGCCTTCTTTTTGCACTGCACAATAAAAAATGTGTATTTCTTAAGTTTCTGCAATATTTCACAAATTTCTTATGCAAACATTAACAGAGGTGTTTCATGTTACCTCAATGAATATTTGATCGCAAGTGAACAACCATATTCCTTATCATTCGAACGAATGACTGATTGTCCAGATATGACATGTTTTCATAGTCAAAGCAATCAGTAAGTAACAGGGCCATCTTTCCTATTTCCTGACACTGTCTTGTCTTAATATCTTGGCTCATCCACTGAAACCAGCCATATGTTGCATATAACGAGATACAACGTAGTTTGTGTGTGAGGCAGGGCAAGCGATTTTACGTAACCATTTCTTAAGAAATTAAGTCGATCACCAGACTCCATTAATGTCATATGATTAAAAATATGTTGCTCTTTCTTAAACATGCACAAAAATACAGACATTCACAAAAAAAAAATGGACGAAATAAAAAGTTACCACGTTGACAACACCATCTTCTTTAGAAAGTGATCAAGAATAGATGAACACGGACATCTAGCATCATGTATATTTCTTATAATCTCAGCTAGATTCACAAAATCCTTTATCCTCCCGTCGGCCGACTCGGGAATATAATTCAGTCTATACATGAGTATTGTTCCATTGTTCATAATAAAATTTATCATGTTGGCGAGGAAACACATTTTTTATCCCTGTCATGCAACTCAATGAAATCTTTGAATTTTATTATGAACAATGGAACAATACTCATGTATAGACTGAATTATATTCCCGAGTCGGCCGACGGGAGGATAAA